GCAAGCCGGCTCCTGGGAAAAATGCAGAAATTAGCCGGAAGGCTCCTGGGATTAGGTTTTGGATGGTGTGAAAACTGTGGTCTTTTTTGGCAGAGCATGAAGGCAGGAGCTTAATAGGCTTCCTAGTGGAAACGTCTTTTGAGGGTGGAGGGAAAGTCCGCTGGGGTCTCCAGCCCATAAAGTAGGCTTGTAAAAGCAGCCTGTTAACACAGCTGGAGGGGAGTGTGGCGGGGGGACCCAAGGGGGAGGAAAGAGGAAGGGAATGAGGTGGGGAGGCTGCTGCAGCCCCCTCTGAGCTGCCCTTAGTTCCTGTTGCCCTTCCTCTTCCCTAATTCCTGACATGGCCCTCCCCTGAGCTCCGAACCCACCAGCTGCTGAGAAAGGATGCACAGGACACAGGACGGAGACAGAGCATGGCCTATGGCATCTACATCCAGGCAAAGATGTTGACTCTGCCTTGGGATAGACTCCATGAAGCCAAGGCAGGTCAGGTACCACCTTCGGGGGTGGGGGTGGGGGGAGGGGGGCTTCCCATCCAGCCCAGGTGTCCTACTGCTGGGGATGGGGTTACAGAAGTCACAAGCACAGGGATAGAAATACATGTGTTTGAGAACACTAAGGAACTGGGGTTGTCTGAAGATGGGACAGACTCGGGAGGGAGCATACTGAGGTAAGACTAGACTGACAGGTAGTCTCAGAGACCCCGGCTCTGTATTCTGTTACTAGCAGCCCTCCGAGTGGGGACTGAGTGCCAGGCAGATGCAGGATCCCACTGGCAGCAGACAGGGAAGCAGCTCTGCCCTGGGCACCCGAGGCAGCAGCAGAGTAATGAGGTACCTAGCAGCAGAGACCAAGATTCCCGGTCCCACAGGACACAGAACTCTCTTGAGGATGAGAACAGAGCTGTCACCCTTCTCCACCACTCCTGGAAGACGGGACTCCTTCCTTCTGAAGCAGATGCCAGGTAGCTCCCCTCTGCTGTTCCCACCTGGTGCCATCCCATAGTAAGGACATCCCTGTGCTCCAGCCTCTATCCTTCCCAGCATCAGAAAGCTACACAAGAGTGGCCTGGAGGAGGGGCAGCCACACCCTCCCAGGATCCCCCAAGGTCAGTTTCCCGGGCAGCCAGGTTTGAGTCTCCTTCCCTTCCCCCAAACCCACAGAGGGTAGGCTGCAACCATTGATCTTGCAGTGCAGAAGGTATTTTTAGCTGGCCTGAGCATCAGCTTCTCCTTGCCTGGCCACACTCTTCTACCAGCCTCTCTGCTTGGGGGCTGGGAAGGGGGACCCCTTTGGGGGACCCCCCACCAGGTCCCCCTCCCCTGCCCACACACTCCCCCATATACTCAGCATCTCTCTGCCTCTTATATCATATCCTGCTCACTTCTGGTGACCATACAGAGGTTGGCAGGGGACCTGCCAGGAGGTGGAACACGTACAAGGTCTGTTCTGTACGTTCTACACCTTCCCCCATTTGCCATCCTATACTCACTATCCAGGCAGGGTTCACACACGGTCTGGTTGGCTCCACAAGGCTGGGCCACACCTTCGCCCAGGTTGCAGGCTTTGCAGCATTCTCCACTATGGGTGTACAAGCCTGTAGGACATGTCCCCTTGGCACCTTCAAGGGACACCTAGGTGGAAGAAGATCAGAGGGTCAGCCTGGCAGGAGAAGGGGGGGTATCTTCCAGGGGATCAAACACCTCCCTCTTAATACCTTCTATTGGAACCACCTGGGCTGGGATGAGCTCACCCGGGAGGCATTAGGAGGATCAAAGCTGGCAGGAAGGAAGGCTGTGTGTGTGTGTGGGGGGGGGGGGGGATAGTGTGCCCTTGACTGCTGCTGGGGTGTGAGGTCACAGCCTCAGGGGCTAACCTTCTGCAGAGTTCACCTTGGGGTTACAGCCCCTCATGGAGCCCTGAGGATACGCCACGTGGGGAGGGCAGCCTGAGACCGACATCCACAATGGCTGGACAGGTTGCAGCTTGTGCAGGGCTCCCGGCCAAGGGGGCCAGTGGAACTGAAACCTGGCCTGAACTCCATTGGCTAAGCCTCACACCTGCAGGGCTGCGATTACCCAGCGGCAGGGCCTTTTCCTAACAAAGGGGAACGGGGTCCTTCTCCAGGTCTCGTTCCTCATATTAAATATCAAAAGGGAGTTGTCTATGTCCAAGAGCAGAAGGCCAGAGGCCTGGGTTCAAATCTAGACTCCATCTAGACTGGAGGTCTCTGTCCTGCCCTGGTTTTCCTTTGGGAGCTGTCACCTCTCTGCAGATAGAGACAGTGACAGCTTGGTGCCAGAGCAAAGGACAGGCTGATGGGCAAGTCTGGCGCCAAGACAGGGAGAGAGGGATGCCTGTTATCAGTAGCTGTTCTCACCATCCAGCAACTCTGGTCCACCAGAGTTGACTTCCAGTCACTAGCCTGACTCCATCGCCTCCCCTCGCCTCCCATGTGGCTCCTGGGAACAGGGCTGGAACTGGGGAAAGGGGAATCAAATTCCTGCCACTAAAGCGTCTTTGCTCATGGATGGAACGACTTAGCACCAGATTCCCCAGAGGGAGGGGCTGCAATGAGGCTCGCTTTGTTTCTGTTCCTTAAAGAACGATCTTAATGTCTAATAAAACTCCAAAGCCTTCTCTGCAGGCTCCAGACCTTGCATACACACACACACACACACACACACACACACACACACACACACACACACACACGCCATTTGATGCCGAGCAATTTGGGCTCTTGTCATGAGACCAGGGAGCTTTACAAGGTTGCTTGGGCATTCCTCTACAGCTTCCATGCTGGACAGATATTTGCCAAGATACCAAAACAAAAGCCTGTGGTCTCACCAGAGTTTGATGGGAAAGGAAATATAGAAGTTGGGGGATACTGGGTGGTTCCCTAGGGGCAACATGGTCTCCATGAGCCCAGTAGGAACAACGCAGGCAGCACAGGAAGCTGCCACCATCTCCTCCCAAGTGCCAGCAGCAGGAGCGAGCGCTGGCTGGCAACATCTGCAGACCAGGAGCCCTGAGGCGAGCTTTCTTCTGGAGCTGAGATTCCAGAAGGGTCTGTTCCCATTTCCTTTCATCACTTAGGGCTCTACTTAAATATCACTTCCTCTAGGAAGTGTTCCTGTCATCCCCACCCCTCCCAGATTAGAGGGACACGAGGTTGACCTTCTATCTCCTGCCCTACCTGGCACAGAGTAGGGCACCAATGTTTGTAATTTGTGTGATTTCAGAACAGGAAGCTGCATGTGCCTTCAGTCGCCTACAAAGTCTGCAAGGCTAACTTTGTGTCCTCGGGGGCAAACAAGTGTGCTGGTGTCCTCCGGTGTCTTTCTCGGTGACCTGGGGGCTGCACCCTGCTCTGCCTCTGCAGGTCCTCCATCACTGGGGCACTGGCTGTTAGCACCAGCGATTACTCAGGGCTGCAATGCAGCAGTGCTCTCGTGTTCTTGGTCCCAGATGACCACATTTCTTGTCATTTTGTCAGCTTTTTGATAGTTTTCCTGTCCCTTCTCTTCCTGTCAAGGTATCAGTTGTCACTTCTTGCTCCCTATCATACTGTGACCAGAAGAGTCCCTCTCCTAGAATCATAATGTGTCAGATCTAATGGAGTCTTTAAAATGATGTCACTGGACTTGGTTTAAAAAAAAAAAAAAAAAGCTGTCTGGGAGCCAGGTGAATAAGGCCTGAATAAGGGGGTGCCAAGAAAAGAGGATCTCCAGTTCAAGGCCAGCCAGGACTACACAGAGAGAAATGGAGATGGGGGGGAGGGGGAGGAGAGAAAAAAGTGTGTGTGTGTGTGTGTGTGTGTGTGTGTGTGTGTGTGTGTGTGTGTCTGTGTCTGTGTCTGTGTCTGTGTGTCTGTGTAGTAGGAGCTGACACAGAAGAACAGTACCTGAGTCAAACATTTGAGCATAATCACTGCCCATTCCACTTCTCCAGTTGATGTTAGGCCCTCATCAGTTAGGGCCAGAGTGACAAACAGGTTTTTCATTTCTCTCTGCCTCTGTTTCCTACCAATAGGGTAATCAAGACAGCACCTGCTTCAAACTACTGTATTAAATGAATGGGTGAGTATGGGTCAATGTTTTTTAGAACTCTCCTTTTAGATGGGTGGGAATGGTAGCCTATGCCTTTAATCCCAGCACTGGGGAGGCAGAGGCAGGGGGATCTCTGTGAGTTCCAGGACAGCCAGGGCTCTTACAGAGAAACCCTGTCTTAAAAAACCAAACCAAACCAACCAACCAAACAAACAAACAAACAAACAAGCAAATGACTCTTCTCTATTCCGGTGTGTGTTCCCTTTGTGGACCTGGGGTATGTACCATGCCCCACTAAACCGAGGTCAGCAGAGAGTTGGAGAGTGTGAGTTGGGGGTGAAGCTGTATGGTCCTTGTGGGAGACATAGTAGCTTTGGGCAAACATCTCTGCCGAGATCCTGCTCTCTCCATGCCTCCCCGCTCCTTTCAGGACTTGTATTTAAAGTTGAGGCCACATAATCAGCATCCACATCTGCACTTGATTTATGTCCTCTATCATAAAATCCTAGATTTGCTGCAAAATAGTCTGTGATTTTGAGCATCTTATTCTTCTGAAATCTCAGTTTTCCTATCTAAAACACTGGGCCGAGTAAGATTCCTGCACTGGGCTGCTGTGGGAACTGAATGAAATAATGTATGCAGATCTGTCTGGCGTACAGTAGGAGTTCAATCAATGGTAGTTATTGAGGAAGTAGCATGTCTTAGGGAGTATGAGCGGCTGACCCCAGGGAAGTCAAAACAGAAAGGGAGCCATCCGCCAAGCAGGGAAGTGTGACTAGAGTTCAGGCTAATTGCTCCAAAACCCGATCCAAATTGAGCAATGTATCAAAGTGACAGACCCATTTGCCTGATAGTTATATCTATTACATTTATTCATTTCCAAGTTGATAGCATGACTTCTCCATCTTTCAGAACGTTTGCCATCTATTTCTGTCATTGCAGGGCTTTTCAGTGTTCGGTCGGAACAGAAATCACACCAGTGTTTGCAGTTCTATGGATGCTTCCATGGGCTCAATCCTGACCGTTCACAACAGCTTCAGAGAAGGCTCCTCGGAGAATAAAAACCTGGTCCCAGCGGTATGGGGTAGGAGAGGTTTTCCACAATCTGGAGAGCCTTAGATAGATTCAAACCCAGGGATGGGCATTGGCTTCCAGCCCCACGCCCCACCCCTTTGGACAGTCACTGAGTCATGAGAAGGAGATTGCTGTTGATTCCTTAAGAAGCTGCCTTGTCTCCACTTGAGGAGGGGCGAGGGCTCTGGCCACGTGGAGCAGGGGAGTGGCTCAGTTCAGAGGCACAGGGCACGGCCTAACCCACCCAGCCAGTGGCAGTTCAGGACCACACCCCCTTTCATGATCTGTAAGTAAAGGGAAGCTGAAAAGGAACTGCGCATGAGGAAAAAACCAGAGCCTTGACTCCCAGCTTCCTACAGGCCATCTCTGTTTTCCGACTGGGGAGCCTGGTGTCCTGCCTAAGTTTCCTGGGGATCAGCCTCTCACCTGTAAAATGGGAATAACTAAGTTTACCTTGCTGGAACCTAAGGAGTATACAACGTAAAAGTACCTAGGACGGTGCAGGTCGCGGAGTAGGCACCTCCCAAACGTTATTATGTCCTCTCTTCCAACTTATCCACTAGGGAGGAAGCCATGCGCTGGAACTAGGCTGAGCTGGCCAGGTAGGGTGGAGGCTTTTCCCTCCGGGAGCCGCCTCACCATCCACCCTCTGCTCCAGCCCCGACACTCACGCTGCCCATTTGCTGCCTACGCTGCTGCAGCCCTATTAGGAGCATTAGCCAGCCCGGAGGCTCCGGTTACAGACGTCTGAATGACAAAGTGCCTCCATTACCGGCGCGGCCCGCCAGCAGACTCGCCGGGATGCGCTCTGGTTTCAACACTCTCTCAGCGGCGCAGGAAGAGGCTGGACCGCTGAACTGGCTCATACCGAACAATCTGGGGCAGAGGTGGAAAGTAGAGCCCCGGGGGCTCAGGTCCGAAGGTTCTGTTCCAGGTCCACCTTGCTGAGGCCTCCTTGCGCGCCTTTTCTAAACTCAGGGATATCCTCCTGTCCAGGTCCAGAGGCCACGCCCTCATCTCTCCAGGATCGGGACCACACAGCGCCCAAGGCATCTCTAACCAGGGACGTTAGTTAACAAACACCCTTGCAGCCACTCCCAAATCCCCGGAGGAAGCCTCAGGTACCGACAGCTCCAAGGAACCGGGTTTGGGCTTTGAGGATGAAACCGACGCTTGAAGAAGTTCTCCATCCTCTGGATTCCACCTCTGCCTACCCCTTAGGATGGTGTCACCCTGCTGTGAAGTTGACCCCCACCCCCACCCCAAGCTGCACCCTTGAGTAGAGAGACCACAGAGCTGGAATGAGGTGAGGGTCCATCCAGCCACAGGACTCTGGCCCAACTTGCTTGTGAGATCTTGGCCAACTTGTTTCAACTCAAAAGTCTCTGCCTCCCTTATCAGTAAGATGGAGCTTTGGGGGCACGGTGCTCAGATGAAGAAAACGGTGGTGGGAAGAGTGAAGATGCCACTTTCATTGCCAACCTTTCTTAAGATCTGATCAGAAATACCCAGAGTACTCGGGTTCTTAGCAAGACCTGATGACCGAGCTGGAGTTGGTGTCTCTGAACAACAATACGACCGAATCCGAGGCATCCAAGCGGCCACTGTCTCAGCCTAACCAGGTGTGGGCGGGATGATGACCCTATTAAGTTCTGGACCGGAAGGAGCTCGAAGGGCGCAGAGCCGGGGGGAGGGGGGGCTGCTTAACTTAGAAGGGGCGCAGTGCGCAGCCCCAGGCGCGCACGCAGCTGCTAACAGCAATCCCGCACCCCGCAGTGCCCCCTGCGGGTCGCCCGGAGCTTGTGCATTCCCCGAGCTGTGCTCTGCGGGAACCGTCACCGCCTGGAGCGCCCCAGCGCTCCGCATCCCTAGACCCGGCAGGCGTCAGATAGGGTAGGGGGATGCTGGCTCTGTCTCTCCCGGTCCACTGCTTTGCTTCAAACCGTGTGAAAAGGCTTGCCAAGGATCCACTCTGGGAACGGATTTGTCCCAGTGAAGTGGGCGCTCGCTTCCCAGCCTGGGATGCCCAGCTGCAATTCTCGGACTGGGCGAGGCCGCGAGAAAGAGCGCTAGAACCCACGCGGGAAACGTCTGTGTCTGGGCTGTCCTCATCCCACTGTCCTTGAGTAGGCAGGTGGGGCCCCGAACACTTTAGGATACGCACCGCTTTCCATCTCTCTACCTCTTTGGTGGCAGTTTCTTTTCTGCCCTCCTTGAAGCCCACTTCTCGCTCTCCAACCTCTCTGCCACTCCCGAATCGCTCCCTTCGACGCCCCTCCCCCCTCATTGTCTGGCCGGTCCCCATTGTCCATGCCCGGTCCCCTCTGCCTCCAGTCCCTCCAGCCGCCTCCCCCATTGTTCCATCGCTAACCCCTCACATCTCTAGCGCCGCTCTCATCCCCCCGCCCTCCTTTCTCTCCTCGGTTCTGTCCTACAACTCCCCAAGGACTAAGATGCTAAAGGGAAAAGTCCTCTCGAGATCCCAGAATTCGCATGCCGTCGTCAAAAGAACCTAGGCTCCCGTAATTCCCAAACCTCCTTCCGAGAAACCCCTCCCACTACCCTACACCGTCCTCACCGCAGTACCCAAAGACCAGCTGCTGCAGCAGCAGCACCAAAGACCAGCATGGGTGTCACAGTCCTGTCCGCATCTCTATCCTGGGACTGGGTCGCCTCTGCGCTCTCAAAGTCCCAAAAGCTTAGAAGCGCCCCTGTGGGCCACGGCATCGCAGCTCCTCCGCCACCCGTTCCCAGCATCTGGGACCTAGACGCCCTATTCTGTTTCCTGGGTGGTGGCACTCGGATCCCCTTGGGGTTCGGCTCCTGGAAAAGGTTAACAGGCGTCCCTCCCGCTACCACTTACCCCTAGAAGCAGCAGCAGCAGCAGCAGCAGCAGGCGTGACCGGTCCATGGCGCTGCAGGCAGCACCTGCCCTCATCGCTCGCCTCCGGCCACAGCGCTCCGCTTCTAGCTCAGTCCGCTCTGCCGGCCGATGGGCTGCGTGCGCTGAGCTGCGCTGCGCTCCAGCGCCTGCTGCCCGCCGGAGCTGGCGGAGGCTCCACTCGCTCTAGATGCCGGCGGGCGGGAGCAGCTGGGTAAAGGCAGTGCAGCAGCCCCGCCTCCTCCCCGCCCAGCCCGCCCAACTCCCCCCCACCCCTCCGGAACCGCGCCCGCCCGGCCGTTTCGGGGTGGGGAGTCCGGAGCAGCCAAGGGAGGCGTGCGGGAGACCGCGCCCGTGTGCCCCGCTGCAGCTTCTCTAGGGGCTGTCTGTCCCACGTACTCAGTGCGCTGCCGGTTATGCGGAGCATTAATATGGGATGCTGTGGATCCAGCGGGGGGCCATTGCTCTCCTACTGATGAGGCCTGCCTCAGAGCTCACTCGCTAAAACATCTTCAGCCTCTCTCTTCCTAGTTCCCTACCCATCCCTCATTCTGGGAATGCTGCTGCCCTTTTGAGATTAGCTCTACACCTTATTCCATCCCGTCCCCTCTACTGCTTCCCACTTGTGGAGCAAGGTGTTCCTTGGGACGTTCAAGGTGGAATCCATCCCAGTATCATAATTCGGGATCTCCCCCCCCCCCTCTCTCTCTCTCTCTCACACACACACACACACACACACACACACACGGGAATTCTCCCAACACACCTAGGACCTCACACATGCCAACCAGGCATCCTATCACTGAACTGTATCTCCAGTCTTTCAAAGCCATGAGCTTGAAGGAGTCACAGGTGTGCACATAAAACCCAGGCGTACACAGATGCACTCACACGTTCACCTGTACATGTGCTCATACACTCACACTTGCCCATACCATCCTCAGGCATTAGTATAAACCTACTCATCCTACAAGGGTCCCTAATACAGATCAGACATACATCTGCGCACACATGATGTGACATTCACGTACACACCCACACACATTCACAAGTGTACAGTGCACAATCATACTCAAACAAGCCCTCACCGGTATTGAGCACTCAAAAGCGTATACATTCCTGAGTGTACAAACCATGCATAAACACAGTTACCTGAGCTTCTGAGCTTCTGAGCTTCCTAAGATGGGAACAGTAGTGTCTTCTCTGCTACAGTAGGTGTTCAGTAATGAATGCTCTGTAGAGGGGATTTAGTGGGAAAGTGGTTGAATGGACTCTACATTCACATTCTCATTTCATCCATGTACTGTGTAGGCGTTCTGAGGATCAAACTTGTCATGTCTGGAAACCTGGCACATCAAATCATTTGTACACCAGAGAATGTGCAGTCTTTCAAGAGAAACATCACCCCGCCCTTTTGGGTTCCCAGACAGCCAAGGCCCTGGTTCAGAGCTGTGGAGGGGACAAGCCTGCAAAGCCTATCCCAACACCAGATGTTAGCCATGTCTGTACTCCAGTTTCCTCTTTGAAAATATAGTCCCAAATAATAGAAACAAGGGACAGACCAAGAGCATTTATAAACATTTCCTAGGTCACTTTAAACTTAATTCATTCACTGCAGAGGAAAACAAAACAATCCTGCGTAACCAATAAAGTTCAGCAGACAGTCCCCAGGAAAGATGGGCAGGCATCATTGTGGCTTTGAGCATTCACATTCATGAACCACCATGGCTGGGTGTAAGAGTCTAGGCGGCAAGCAGGACCTCAGAAGTCCCTGAGGACCCGCCCCTTCCTCCTGGACAGAGATTACTTCTAAGATGTCCCCTCCCCCAAGGCTTTTACAGATCTGCCTTGCTCTCCACTGAATTCATGGGAAGCAGGAAAGAGAAGCATTAGTACTTCTAGAAGCATCGAGCTGCTTACTACCAGCCTATTGACAGTGTGGCATTAATTTAAATACTCCCGTTATTAATTTATGATCCCAGTTACTATTATTGCCAAGGTTATCCATCTCAACACAATTTAATATGACCCATACCACCATGGCTGGGCCTGGGTTATTAATAATTTCCATGGCCTTGATCATTTAAGCCTTACTCCAACAATTACAAACAGCAATCGTTACTATTATTAGCAGTATTTCTATGATTAAGCTGAAGCGCAGGCCTGAGATGTATTGCTGAGTGCCTGCCGGCAGGGAGAGTGGCTGGGAAGGGTGCAGAAGGAGTGTGGTGTTGGGAGTCAGGTAGGCCTGGGTGAGAAGGCCTGCCTCCTGCTCCATTGCCTGTGCCAGCATTGCCTTAGGAAGGCTACACCTTCTCTCCCGGCCTTCACTTTCTCATCTCTAAGATGGGGCTTTGAAGGAAGATAACAAGGATCAAACAGAGCAACGCGGTGTCCATCACAGGAGGGGCTCCGTCCTCTCTTGTTCGCTCATGTGTGTTTGTGGGGTGCTCACTGTGGAGCACTCGCTATGGAGCACTTGCTACCGCCCACCCACACTCCTGGGCACGGGAGATTCAGCAGAGGACAAGACCTACCGTGGAACCGCCGGACTAGATCAGCGGTTCTCAACCTGTGGATCGCGACCCTTTCACGGGGGTCACCTAAGTCTATCGGAAATATCAGATACTTACATTATGATTCATAAAGAGTAGCAAAATTGCAGTTAAGAAGTAACAAAAGTAATTTTGTGGTTGGGGGGTCACCACAACATAAGGAATTATATTAAAGGGTCAAAGCATTAGGAAGGTTGAGAACCACTGGTCTGGATAGAGTATTAGTTATTTATTTATTTTTTATTTATTTATTTTTATTTTTTTATTTTTGTTTTTCGAGACAGGGTTTCTCTGTGTAGCTTTGCGCCTTTCCTGGAACTCACTTGGTAGCCCAGGCTGGCTTCGAACTCACAGAGATCCACCTGCCTCTGCCTCCCGAGTGCTGGGATTAAAGGCGTGCGCCACCACCGCCCGGCGAGTATTAGTTATTTAATGTGAGGGTTATTTTGTAATGTGACGCTTTAGCACAGCCGTGATCAGAATGTTCCTTTGCTGAGATCCCCATATCACCATGACCACAAACACCTGCCCCCAAACCAGTACACACCACTATGACCACCATTGTCATAATCACCACCATCTCCATCACCGCCACGGTTCATACCATAACAGCTGTCTCGGTGAATCCTAGCAGGCCAGGATCTTCTCACCCCACACCGCCCCAAATCATCATGACCCTGACTATGGCGATAACCTTCATTGTCGACGAGACTAGATTAAGAGGCACTGGGGCACCACCCTGGGTGTTTTTATGGTTTTTCCCAGAAAGTTTTAACCGTGGAAGAAGGAAGCCACCATAAATGTGATAGCATCTTGCGGGCAGGTATCCCACACTGAATTCAAAGGAAAGCGGGGTGAAGTACCTGCATTCCCGGCTGCTGATGCAATGTGCCCCCCTCATGCCCTGTGCTCCTGCTTCTGTGCTGTGCTGGTTTGAAAGAGATGTCCCCACAAGTCTCAGATGCTTTAATAATTGGTCCTCAGTTGCTGGCTATTTGGGAAGGATTAAGAGGTGTGGCCTTGTTAGAGGAGATGTGTCACCATGTCACGGGGATGGGCTAAGGGCTTCAAAAGCCTTTGGGCATCCGTGAGTCCTCCCTGCTTCCTGTCTGTGTATCTGAAATGTGAGCTCTCAGCTACTGCTCCAGCATCTTGCCATGACCGACTGCCTGTTGCCATGCTCCTCACCCAGATCATCTTGGACTCCTAGCCCTCTGGAACTGTAAGCCCCCAATAAACCCTTTCTTCTAGAAGTTGCCTTGATCATGATCCTTCTTAATCTGCTTTACTGGGTCTTTTGTCACAGTAATTAGAAAAGTAAGCAATAAACCATTGTCACCATCATCTGTCACAGACAATTTTACCAAGTCCAGTACTACATGACTACCACCACCCACATTCATCATGACCATGACCCTAACCATCATCATAACCACCTCTACAAACTCTAGTGACTTCACGGCCATTATCACCACAACCACCTCTGCTTACCCCTTAGAGCCATTGCCTGCCTGAGCCAAACTCCTTTGTGACTGCGACTCCTGGCCCCAAACTGAGTAGTTTCCAACTACTTAGTGGTCTCTCCCAGACTCGACAAGATGCGCTTTCTTCTCGGCGATCTTTTCCCTAATCACTGAGAGATGGGACATAGGGACGGCCAGCTTGGCAGCACCAGGGGGCAATAATTTTCCTGAAGGATCTTCTATAACCGACTCCTGTAATAAAGCTGCACATAGAGAAACATAGAGAAGATCTCTCTCTCTCTCTCTCTCTCTCTCTCTCTCTCTCTCTCTCTCTCAATCTCTCTCTCTCTCTCTCTCTCTCTCTCTCTCTCTCTCTTCCTGGACTACACCAACTCCAACGTAAAAGGGTAAATAATAATAAGCGCAGCTCAGCATGGAGCTGGAAGCGGGAGGGGTTGGGAAGTCCTCTCCCTCTCTTCCCATTCCGTTTGTCCACTCACCTGGACCTCTCCAAGGGCCTTCATACCTTTGCAGTTGCAAAGGACTCAGCACCTTTGTGGGCACTGACAGCCCCACGTGCCCATATTCTTGGCTGCAATGTGAGCCAGCCTGATGCTGCAAACCCTGTCCTAGCAGACAATGAGAATGCCCGCCCCCATTACCTTTCTGCAGGCCGGGAGATGCACACGACTATCTCCTGTGCTCCCATTGCCGTCTCCGAAGGCTGTGCTGGAATCACTTTACAGGTGGAGTGTCTGAGACTCGAAGAGGTGAACACTTGCCTCAGGAGGAAGTAGTGGCGTCATAGCTCCCAGGTTCACACCCCTCCCCATTAACATCCTGATCCCAGGTTACTCCTCCCCTCCATGCCAGCTCCTCAGCCTTTACCCTCTAGACAGCTGCTGGGGGCGCTGGGGAGGAAGGACCCCCATCTCAGAGGGACTGAGTCCTGTCTCTAGGTCCCTGGCTGCTCCCTCTTGGTGTCCACAGCCCAAGACAGGCTTAGTTAGAGGCTAAGTGGGATGGCATTTCATGCCAGAGAGGAGGGCTGAACTCTGCCAACTTCCACCTTTCTTGCCCCAAGAGAATTACTTCTGACTCCTCAGTCCCATGTCCAACCAGAGATGGGGTGGCAGGGGGTGGTCCAGGGGAGAGGAAAGAGGAAATGCTAGGTCTTTACAGCTGTATCCCATCTGCCCCTGGCAGGCAGCCAGCCAAGATAAGTGAAACTTGCTGCCCCCGCCCCCCCAAGGAGTTGGCTTGGTGGCTTTGAAGCCTGATTGTCTCTATACTGACTCTGAGACATAAAGGTGGAGCCTATTGGATGAGGGCATGGTGGGGCCCAGAGATTGGTTCAGGGTGATTGAGACTTGATTCTGGAGCTGAGTCGGTAGTAAGGGAAGTGGGAAGAGGCAGCAATTTTGGAGTCCAATTGGACTAACTTGAGCATCATAACGGGCCGTTTTCACAATGCCCTCTCTTCTCCACTGTCCACTCAGGTATGGAGACTAATGCTGTCTCCCCGCCTGAGCTCTGCTCTGTTGGAACCACATAGAACCCACGCTCACCAGCTTCTCCTACCTGTGAGCCTGACACAAGGTCTGCCCCGGGAGCACGGCTTGAATGAAGCTCTCTTCCTTTAACACAATGGTTGGGTTGCATCGGGCAAAGGCTTCCGGGCAGATCACTTTTCCTGTGAAGATCTGGGCCATACCCATACATGGGCCAAGGAGCCACAAGACTTGGTCAGTTCATTCAGGCACAGGTAAGAGGGACATGTTTTCCTCAGATTCCGTGTCATGGTGAAAGGCCCTATCGTGAGGGGGACGAAGGGTGTCCGGGCTCTCCAGTAAAGGCGTGTGGGACAAATGCTGGAGCTCAGGGCCTCAGAGCAGCCAGCTCCTCCCTGACTTCAGTGGTCCAGGCTCTCTCCTCTCTGAGCACAACCTTCCTCTAGGAGGTTCCTCTCAACTTCCCACCATGATCCTTTGAGCTCCCAGGGGCCTCCGAGCTGCCCCACAATTAGAAACTGGATTTTCTTGTAGCTGTTTTTTTTTGTTGTTGTTGTTGTTTTGTTTTGTTTTTTTTCTACACATTTATTTTCCTATTTAAAAAAATATTCTTATATGCCTGAGTGTTAGTCTGCGTATACGTATGTGTACCACGTGCATGCCTGGTGCCTAAAGAGGTCAGAAGAGGGTATAGAGTCCCCGGAACTGGAGTTAAAGACAGTTGTGAGCTGCCATGTAGGTGCTGGAAAACAAAACCAAGTCCTTTGCAAAAACAAAACCATCAAGTGCTCTTAACCGCTGAGCTATCGCTCCAGCCCTTCGTAGAGACAGTGTCTCACGAATCTCGGGCTGGCCCTGAACTTGTTCCGTAACTGATCCTCCATCTCTCAAGTGCTAAGACTATAGGCCTGCGGCATCATGTCCAGTTTAGAGGGTACTGGAAGGTGGAACCCAGGGCTTTTGGGCATGCTAGGCAAGTACTTACCCAACTGAACTACATCTCCAGCCTAGACTCAGTTCTTTATTTGCTTTTTTTTTTTTTTTTAAAAACAGGTTTAAACTCAGTTTGTAGCCAAGATGACATTGAACTCCTGATCTCCCCCCTATACACTGTTATGGCCCACAAGCTGGGATTACAGGTGTGTGTCACAATGGCCTGTTGGATTCAGTCTTCTCTGGCTGCCCTGTGTCCAAGGCCAGGCAAGATGGTAAAGGACAATGAAGTCGAGCTATTCCACAGCTAGAACATCATGGAGTCAGTATGTAGGAAAAGACAATGAACCATCAGAGGCCCAAGAGCCAGTCTGTGGACGTATGTGTAGTGACAAGCCCATCCCTTCCTTGCTCTGAGCCTCAGTGTCCTCATCCGTAATGAAAGGCATAGGATCAGAGCCTCACAGAATGAGTAGTCAAGGAAACAGTGTGGGCGAATGTGCTTTCAAAGTCAGGGGGGCCGGAAAGATGTCAATTAGTCTCGTATTTGATGCCGCTATTGATGGTGGCTTCTAGCGAGAAACCGGATGAGGGGTAAGATGACATTTCAACACTGGGGACTGGGCCCAGGGTCCTTCCTGCTGCAGATAAGAGCCAGAGCTGTGACGGGCCTCTGGCTTCAGGGAATTTCCCACGGGAATTAGTGGAGGAGGAGACGTCCCAGGCCCAAGCTTATCTTCACTCCGCTTTGCTCGGCCTGTGATAGTCTGGGAAGTGGGGTCAAGTGCAATTGTCTGGGTTGGTTTCCAGCAGGGGAGGGCAAAGGGCACTGATGTAGAGTCTGGACAAAGTCATGTCTGCTGTGCCTGTTGCCTACAGAGAGAAGACTCCCTCTGATGGCCAGGAAAGAGCTTGGTGTAGAAGGATTGCTTCCCAGCCCCTTCCATTAGGAGGTGGGCTCTGTTCAGATCCACGGATCCCAAGAAGGGGGCGAAGGGAGGGGGCCTTTGAGGACAGAAAACCAGAGGCACCAGATCTTCCCGGAGAGTCTCTCTCTCTGCATGTAGCAACCGACCACCTTCCGGAGAAGGGGAGAAGGCAGCCTGGCTCAGAAGAGTCACGGGTCTCTTATTCTGCGGAGAGACACCGTCTCCAGCTCCTTGGGAGCACCTAGATGGTCCAGACAGTGGAGAGGAACTTCCTGCTGCTGCCCCCTCTACTGGGCAGGGCCACAGCTATAGCCTCGGAGATCTTCTCATCTTAGGGGTTTCCCTCCACCAAACAACAGTATATCCCTGGGATGGGGACATGGTGTTCAGTTATACATTGTAAGCTGGTAGACAGATTTTGGGGAAGGGAAGAGCCAGCCCAGAGGTACAGCTGGGAAACTGAGGCCCAGTGGTACCCATGGCATGTTCCAAATCTTTCAGTGGGCTGGTTACAGAGAAGGGAGAGGTTTTAGCAGTCTGTGAGGAGCCCTTGCCCAGTTCCCGGTGTGACCTGTGTCACGGCTGCGCCCCTCCAGGCCTACTTTTCTACTTGTGACAAGCAGAAGACCTTCCCACACTGTCTTTGCTCCTGCACCATGAAGCCAGGTTCTTGTCCAGTCTGCTAGGTGCCCCGGAAGTGGGGGGGAGGGCCCCCTGGAGGAGCCAGCAGATGAGGAAGTGCTGAGTTGACACTCAGAGCCCAGCCACCTGGCTGAGCAAGTGTATTCATGCCTAGCCCTCCCCTCCAGACCTAGGCTCAGCTCCGAAAGGCCTTCCCAGCCCATCCCCGCCCGGGGCTCCCCCACTCAGCTGGAAACTCTTAAGCAGAAAGGTCGTCAAGATGATTAAATGCGAACAGATTTTCAGCTCTTTTTCCACTTTAATTAAAAATGTGCTCTCAGTTCAGAGGAAGCTGGGAGACGAAGGAGAAGCTCCCCAAAGGCCACCGGGCTGAAAAGTGAAAGAAAAACACTCAGGTGTCTGAGGTTGGCCCTCCATGGCATGAGGTCAGGGGACTAGCCTAGCGCTGTCATGTGTCCCCAGGTCCCGCACAGCAAGTACAGCCTGGAGGCCACTGGACATGAGACATTGAAATAACACAGGTGGGAGCTGAGTAAGTCCACATCCTGGAGCCTGTACAAGCTGCAGTGGGAGAGAGAAGAAATTTTATTTATATACCTGCACTCCTGGGGAGTTGCCAGTGTGGGGAAGGGGATGAGACACTGGAGTCTGACAGAGAATTCAGGAAAGAAGGGGGATGAGTGACTAACTCCCCACACAGGCACAGGGGGTGGCCCAGGATGCCAGCATGCAGATGGCAGCTGAGGGGACACAAGTGTCTGGAGAAGCAGTGGGAGGCAGCGACCCTCGGGAGATTTAGGATGCCAGTGTGGGAGAGGCAGGTGCCTGGGAGGGGGCCCTGCTACGCAGGGGGGTGAAGCTATGGCAAGGAGTGGGTGGGCAGTCATGGTGGCTTTGTGAATGGGGAGGGGGGAGGCAGAAGCCAGCAGGGGGTGAAGCCCCCACCACTGTCGTCTCCTCCCTCTTTCTCTTGGGGCCCTGCAGCTCCGTGAGAAGAGGGAGAAAGGATGGGAAGGGATGTTGTAGGGACACCTGAGAACATCCGCAGGGGGAGGAGGGAAGGCGGGGGCAGGGAGCTGGCACAGGCCGCTGGAACAGCATCGCACAGCCCTTGGTCACAGATCCTGTTTCCGGTCTGGCTTCAACCCTTGGCAGGCCCTGAAGTGGAGCTTCCCTCAGAGAGTAGAAGACAGGATGATCGCGTTTGAAGTTGCTCTGCATGTTCTGGTTCTGATCTCCTGGGCGCTATGCAAGGCAGAGGCCTCCCACCGTTTCCTGGTCCTGCACCGGGTGGTCCCACCTGCCCCCTCTTGGGATGGGGAGCCTGCCCTTGTCGCTGCTTTGGTGAGCCAAGAGGGTGTTCCTGAGTTCCACTCATCACCTAGCTCCCAGGCAAGAAAGCACCACAGAGGGGTGCTCAGACCCTTCAGAATCCAGCCTGGCATCTTTCCACATCAATCTTGGCCTGCTACATTCGGCAGTTTCCCCCAGCCAAACTTAGGGGCCACCAAGAGAGCAAGGCCACCAACTCAGCAGAGCTCAGAAGAGGCAGCTGGACCCTGAGCAGGGAGGGAGCGCAGGTGTTCCTAGCAGAGGGGGACCATTGGAAACTTGAACATGGAACAGGGTTGTAGGAACGGGAACCCCATCTAGAAGTGTGAGGAATCCATTTGTGGACAGCCTGAGGGTGAAGGAGCAATGGGCAGAGACGGAGCCAAACACACTGGGGACAGACTCTTCAAGTCCTGTCCCTGGCAGGTGATGAGATACTCTCTGCCCCTTGGAAGGCCCTTTCTGACCCAAGTCAAAACCTCCTGCTCTCCCTGGCCTTGACTGGTTCCTGTCACCTGCATTATTCCAGCTCTCTGTCTTGGAGGAAGGGGAAAGACCTATGTTTAGATCTGACCCGCAGCCTCCCTTCCCTGTACCCGCATTGTCTGGTAGGAGGTGGACCAGTCACCTGAGACAGGGACCTCTGATAGCCTAGATCCCCAAGTGGCCCCCGCCCTCGGCCTTCCCTCATTCGGTTGTTCCACTTTTGGAGAACCCAGGGACTCCTCAGCAGGCAGCAGCCTATTTTGCCAGGCTCCACACAGAGCAGCGCCTGGCACAGTAGTGGTGAATCGGGAAGTGGGTCTCTATTGGCGGGCACCGTGGTGCCCGGAACTCGCGATTCCTCCCCAGTGTTAATTATCAAAATTAACCGAACACTATAAATAACCCAACTCGGAGACTCGAAGAGCCTCGCTTCTAATTAATTCATTTCCAATCAAGACACTTCTACGCCCCCTACCCTAGAATCCGAGGGACAGGAACCTCATTGTGCAGCTTTTTAAAATATCGACCTCCGATAAGCCATCCCCCTCACCGCTCCTGAGAGCCAAGAGCCCAGAGAAGGGGGGGGGGGAGGAAAAATCAGCTTGCTTTCTTGGAAGGGGGGAGCCTATAAATAACCACATATTGGTGCATTTGATGGACGACATTCTCATGGAGATTGGCTTTTGCTGGGATGAGGAGACGTGGGGGGTGGGGGTGGGGTGGCTGAGACTTCCATCTGCCGCCTCGTTTACTGGGCAATAAATTTTAAAGCAAGACTGTGAGTACCGTCCAAGGCCTTTGTGCTGGCTGGAGCTGGGGAGACTGATCGATAGAGGAGGGGGAGGGGGACAGAGAAAGCAAGCTCTAGGTTAAATGTGGGGAGGGGGAGGAGCGGAAGGGGCGTCAAGGAAAGAAGAATGACGGGCAAGGGGGAGGGGTGTTTCTGGTCTCACCTTGCCACCCGGCCCAATGGCTGCCCTAGAACAGTCTACCCTGAATTCTATCTCGCTACTTCCCCTCCAGGACCTCCATGGTTGTGGGTATCCTTTGAGAGACTAGCTGTGAATGAGGCTACAGAGCAAGTTCAGGGCCAGTCTGAAATGGGATGAGGAGGAGGAGAAAGAGGAGGAAGAGGAAAGGAGGAGGAGAGGGAGGAGGAGGACAAAGAGGAGGAAGAGGAAAGGAGGAGGAGGAAGAGAAGGAAGAGGAAGAAGAGGGGAGGAGGAGGAAGAGAGGAGGAGGAGGAAAAGAAGGAAGAGGAAAAAGAGGGGAGGAGGAAGAGGAAGAGGAGGAGGAGGAAGAGGAGGAGCAGGAGGAAGAGGAAGAGGAGGCGGGGAGGAGGAGGTTACCTGGGGAAATGGCTCAGTGGATAAAGTACTTGGTCCTACACTCGTGGAGACCGGGTTTCTATCTCAGACTGACTAAAGCAGGGCAGATGGCAGCTCCCCTCAGGAAACGGAGACCAGGGATCCCAGGCAGGCTGGCTAGCAAGACTGGCTGGAACTGGTGAAAGACCCGGGCTCAATACAGTGGGAAGCGACGGAGGAAGACATCTGATATCTCCTGTCAACTTCAGGCCTCCACGTGCACACACACACACACACACACACACACACACACACAC